AAAGAGCTTCTCTGCGCAACATATGCGCCACAACAACCCACAAGTGGAGTGCGAGTTAAAGTGTTGAAGCAATAAACATTTTAACCTACACTCGAACAAATACCATCTCAGTGGTAGACGAATCGAAGCTGACAACGAAAATCGAGTTGTCTAAATATATTGGGATAGAGTCACGAAAATCAGTTGGGTTGTGACAAAGTTAAGGCAGTGGAAAATGCAAGCAAACATATTTCTCCGGGTGTAAGTACGTATAGATAACTAAGTACACCTACATATATGGCTCTGCGTAATGTGGCACATGGCAGTGGTAAGCCAGAGATTTATAAATAAATATATAGACATCGTATAGCGCAATACACATGAGCATGATTACTGACTTGGCGACCATAAAGAGGTAAAACGGTTGACGTTTTAATTTCGTTGACTGGCTGTTAAATGTAACAGTAAGTGAAGCATATCAAAAGTCTGTCCGATGCCATACATTCAACTAGCTACGACCAACTAAATATGCAGCACTTTATCTCCTAGACCTGGTAATAACTTAAAATGCACTGTCAAAAGTTGGATGGTGGAGCAAACTGGTTAGCAAAAGTTATTTCAGAAATTGTTTGCACTCAAGATGTTAAAGTTAAGTAGTTGATAACACGAAACTTGAATTCAATTTTAAGTTAAGTTTTTTAATACTTAAGAACCTGCAGTTGGCAACTAACTGAAGCAGGTGGCTTTCTATGTCTTCAGCATTCCTCGCTTTGAATAGAAGCTTCTTCTTTTTGGCCGTAGACTATATTTTGGTCAATCAGAGCACTTACACGTTTTGCCTTTTGTAGCCATGATATAAACACAATACACACAAAATAAAGCAAAGCACGTACAGACATCTATCTCCTGGGCACACCTGTTAAATCAATTGAATCTATTGATTTCATTCACCCTGTCACAACAGAAGTTCAACTCAAGTCCACTGACTGGATATTCAGTCTCGCATTAAATGTTAATTAATCAAATAAAACACTCATATGGTCAACATAACAAATTGATTTATATTCGCATCATTTGATTCTGAATCACATAGACAATTATGAATTAGCTGCTTTTGCTTTGAAATGAGTGTCTGCCCCAGTTTGCTGTCAGGCTATTAATTGTAAAACAAATGCGTCTGCCAATGTGATGCAGATAGGAACAGGGCAGGTCATTGGCAGCAGGTTAAAGCCCACAACTTGGCATCACATACAGACACAAGCACACTCTCAACATCACACACACACACTGTTCATTGACATTAGGGAAATAATTGAATAACTTTGACACAGGTCGCGCACAGGTCTCATCACAACTGTCCATATTTTTGTTATTTGTAAGCAGCGAGCAGTGACTGAAAACGAAAACTAATTAAAAACAGAAGCAGGCATAAGGAGTAAGTATTGTTGTGTGACAATATATGTATGCAAAATCATTTAATAGCCATATTAGCGCAAAGACACCAGCAACCAGCATGTCCATGTGCTTCATAAATAACTAGAAAACATAATAATTAAGTAGATGGACTTAATAGACTGCTGCTCTTGACACAGATTGATTGCAGATTGTATTCTGCGCGTTAGAGTCGCCACAATCATCTTGGTAATTACATATTGAACAGAAGACAGAGAAAACTGTATCATGGACAGCTAATTTGATACTCACTTAAGGCCACATTATTAATTCTTAATCATCAGAATGCAGTCACTTAAATTATGCATACCCGCATTGTACGCGACCAATAGAAAATGAATCTTAAGTACATATAAGCATTATTTAACAAATTTAATGCTTAATGTTAAATAGATTGGCAAGGGATTTCAGGTAAGAAATGTTTTTGCTTTGAGATTATATTTCGGTACATAAATTGACAAATTAACCAAACACTTAAACATGACACGGAAATACTATAGTCACTAAATTCTGTCGTTAAGTGTTAGAATGTCCTTCTTCGCAGCAGTGATTACACTTCACAAAAGACCAACAGGACATGGCCAGAAGCAATGTGAGGAGGGCTTAGGCGCTCGTACAGAATGTTGAGATGGCGAATTCTTTTAGCGTTGATAAAATAAAATAAGGTAGATGAAAAGCCACTCAAGTTGAACAAAATTTAATGAGCTAAGAATTTTACGTTGCGATGACTCTTAAAATGATTCTTGACTTTCATATGGTCTAGCGAAATTGTAAGTCTATTTTAAAGTAACTTTTACGTCATTGATCGAAAGTCAATTTAGAAGCATTAAAACTTTACAGCAGACATTCGATACAGCACCAAACCAAAATTTAATTTATTTTAAGAAATTATTCACTCTGATTGTTTAATCAAAGAGCTTTAAATACTTGTATAAATAAATTTCTGGCTATTATTTTTGCCAACGATTTATTTAATTAGACCTCGACGCTGTTGTGTAGGAAGAAAGGGACTTAGCTTAAGGCTTTCCGCGAAACTTAAGAGATAAACACATAGCAAAATACATCAAATGCCTTCGTTAATGAAGTACGCTACAAATGGTTTGGTTAAAAGAAGTAAAGCCAAAGGGCAACCACAGCTTCCAAGCCAAGTGTGCACTCCATAGTTCCCAAAGCAACTCGTCAACATTTGTAACCAACCAGAAAACAAATAATTCCCAATGCTAAAAGCTGCAGGGAAATAATTGAAAATGAAAATATTTGTTTGTTTTAAATACATTATTATTATTTCTTATTGCAATCCAAAATTTATAAATAAATAAAAAAAAATAAACAAAAATTGGGGTCGGTGACGTTTTCTTCAGGTTTTTTTTTTTTTTATTGTCTCTGTAACATGAATAGTGAAAATTGTTGTCCTTGTCTAAGCTTACATAAATCTCATTTGCATTGTGTCGCTCATATTGTGGGTAAAACAATTGCTCATCAAGGCCAGTTCATGACCTGCCAACTAGTTTTACATATTCCTTTACATTTCAGTTGTATTGTGACCTTAACTAATAATGTGCTGAATTTAGTTTAGATATAAAGGAAAAACATTCATTCATATATCCCAAAGCAATAAGCAGGAAAAGATTTATCAAATTACAGTATCGTATTTTGTAGGAAATTAGTATTTTCACGTCTCCTGTTTAAATTGTCTTTCACATGAAATGATTTTTGTGGTGAGATTTTTTATCAACCCGAGACATGTATGAACCATTTTTCAGAAACCACAGAAATCAAAGAAAGTTATTTTAATATATATATACATATATAGAAAAATGTAACCACGTTTTATTGACATGCTGTCATCTGCATTTTAATTGTACTTTGCACAAGCCCTTTAAACAACTTTAATACGAATACTTGAAATCAACGAATGGCAATAAATTAATCATGCTCATACCAACTGTGTTCTGCTATTAAATTAAATTGAGTTCACAGTAGGACAAGGATATCAAAATCGTGACTGTATTAGCATTAACCTTACCCACACTTTATTCAAAATGAATTAACGACAGTAAATCAGAGTATACTTTCAGTTGAATTCGGCAAAGCCAACAAAAAATCCAACCCCCAATGTTGCCACAGCGCAATTTAAATACCAAACAAATTATATATATAAAAAAAAGAGAAACCTTTACATGACATGAAATTCTAACATCCAAGCTGTGTTGGCCCAAGCCCAAATAAATGTGTAAATTAACTAATAATTGCAAATGAAATCAAGAGCAAAATAATTATAATTAAACTGTATTTGTGTTTTTTTGACAACCAAATTAAGACACAAATATTATGTGCGCAATAAATATCAAAGTTGCACCAAGGAATTTCAAATTTAAAATTTACCAAACAACATGTTTACCAACTAATAATTGCAATGTTCGTATATGTACGTACATATGATCAGCTGCATGCATAATTAAACATACGCACATGATTGCCTGCTAACGGTACGTACGTATGTACATATGTCTGCATGTCTGTGTGTATATGCGTACGTGTGACTAGTACCAAAATATATTATCCAGCTTTTACTTTTCAGCAGTATCCGGTTACCTTTGACTCTTGTATTGTTACAAAGGTATTGCGTTGCGACACTTTTAAAATATCAAACCAATTTCTTCAATGGGCTCCTTTCGTTGCGATTTTTTTATTTTATTACCTTGTCAATATTTGTATTATTTATTTTATAGCTTGTTGTGTGTGTATGCTCTGTACCCAAAGTGAAATAAAGTATATTTTTTTTAATTTTATTTTTTCTGAAATCCTTAAATATCCAAATTATATTTATTTAGTTTTCTGTTTCTGAGAAAATCATAGAAATTTGCTTAAAGTTTTCACAATGCGAAAACTAAATTTACCCAATTTACTTGATGTTTGCCACTACTAATCAATATCATTATAGATGAAGATAAAGATTTTTGTATTATTATTATTGCTAATATAATCGGCAAGTAAAGTTCGTTTCATTTAAAAACTATTGACTATTGCTGTATGGGACCAACAACACTGTGAATCGTATTTATAACAATATACTTTGAGCTGCTCCGGGAACAGAGTATAGAGCAGTCATCTGCTCTCGACGGCAGCATTTTTATTTCTCCTCAAATAACGATGTCAGTTGAATTTCCGCAAAATCAAATACAAAGGCATCCGGTTCAACTGGAAAACCTACTTCAACAAAACAAAAAAAAAACCCAAACCCGCCATTGTTATTCGCTTAAAATGCAATTTTTGGCCACAAAAACAATTTGTGCAAATCGATGTAGACAAAACTGAAATGTGTGATAGGATATCTGTGTTGGTATTTGTTGTTGGTATATGATGGGTAAAAAAACATGTGTACATCTTGAATATTTTATTGACTTAAATATTTCACTGTGTTTTCTTGGGTTTATTTGTATTTACTTGTGTTTATTTGAGTTTACAGGCACTGGAAACTAGTTGAGAGATCTGTCAAAGCTTTTTAAGTGGAACAGCATTTGTTAACTTTTGTTAGTGCTTTCATGAATATTTTTTTTTAGATATAATTAATGCATTCTGAAACGCTGCTAGAGCACTTTATTGAAAATTAAGTCGATACTTAAACATCCACATTGCATATCTCACAGTTGCCGTTGACGATAGTGCTACCACCTCGCCTTATAATCGTACCACGTCCGTTATTATAGCCCGGACGAGTGACAACGACGTTACCGTTGGAACCTGAACCTGAACCTGAAAAACTGCGGTATTCCTGGCCATTTATGTACACCGGTTCCCCGTTTGGATTGGGACCTATTGGAGCGTTTCATGAGTGCATTAAGACTAACGGCAAGAATGCATCTGATACTTACAAGTCAAACATACGCCATTCACCACAACAGTGCTGGGGTAAGCTGTAAATTGAGCACACTCAATGCGGTTAATTAGGTTTAATCAGAAAGTAATCGCTGTAAAGGCTAACCGCTGATCAACATCGGCAACAATCCGAACAAGAGCAATGCACACGTCAAGTACTTCATCTCAGCTGCAGTGAACTATAAAAGCATTCAACGCTTAAACAGATTTTATATATGCCATATAAATCAAAAACAATTTGCATATATAGTATGTACTAAATGTTATCGCTAACGGTTCAATAGGTGCGCATTTCAGTCATGATAACAATGCACCGGCTATAAAATGCGCTACTGAGACTTTAATATTAGATGACTAGCTATTTATTGTTAAATTTAAAACCTGAATATAGTATTGTTCGTAGAGAATCAAGCATATGTATTTGGCCGTATATTAAACTTAGTAGAGTGCGCATTAGGAAAACCCCACACATTGATAACTATATAATCAAACACTAATGAAAATAATCCAAAATGGTATACTCGTATGTTGATTTATGACAACAACGACGACTCTCCCACAAATAAAAGTGAATGACAAACAAGTCTATAAAATTCAACTGAAAAGTGAATCTACATAATTAATACTCGAAATCGTTGTTTATGAACATGAATGATTATTGTAATTCCAACGAAGTCACAGTTTCCCATTCTAAAGTTAAAATAAAAAGGCAGGCAAATCACTTTCGAGTCAATTGTCGTGACTGTCAAAACATTCACACAACTCTCGACGTAGTGCAAATCACCACCAACAATGAACACTTCACATACAGAGTAGGTTTTTGCTTGGTTATACATATATATATGTTTGAGGCTGGGTATTTCCCCACTTTGATTAATTCCTGACGCTTATGTACATATAGTACATATAGTATATGCGTATAGCACTATCTGTATATGAGTTTGAGAGAGATGATGATCATGGAATGGCAGAGACAGCAACAGACATCGAACAATCGATGTATAAAAGTCGCAACAGGCTGAAGCAACAAGCCATTCCAGTTTTGCACCTTAACACGCCAACAACTAAACTGAACGTCGAACAATAACAACAGGAATAGCAATAGCAACATGGCAAATTTTAGTGTGGCTTTTGCGGTTTTCATGCTAAGCGCGTTGGCAATATCACAGGCGGCTGTATATATTGGCGGCGGATGTTATGACTGTAAGAGATTCGAACGCAAATAAGATGCTCGATGCAAAATAATAACAAATAACTAACGGCATTCACAGGTAATCCGCCCGGTGGTCAAGCACGAGGAGTGTATACAGGCCTTAACGGCGGTGGCGGTGGCAGATTAGCAGGAGGAGGAGGAGGAGGAGGAGGAGGAGGCGGAAGCTATTATAATGGAGGCGGGGGCGGACGTCCGGTCTACTCAGGAAACTTTGGACCAAATGGCTATAGTGGAGGTGGCGGTAGACGAGGTGGCGGTGGCTACCGTGGCGGTGGCTACGGTGGCGGTGGCGGTGCGGATTATGATACTGGGCTCACGCAAATCATAAGCGGCTAATCGTCGTTTAGTTGTCAAAAACAAAAACAAAAAGTAAATAAATACAAAAAAAAAATATAAAAACAAAGTAACACAAATAACATGAGTTTTAAGTACGCTCTCAAAGTGAAGTATATACATTGCTCATTCGCATCGCAACTAGAACTTTTGCGACTACAACATTGACCTTGAAAAGCATTACAAAGTGTTTGCTCCATGAACTACACTTGTAAGCAAAAAAAAAAAAAAAACAACAAAACAAAATAGTGACCAACGCAAAATTTCAACAGCTTTGTTTTGTTTTCTTTACATAAGGTGGGGCTTTTACCCCTGAGGTTAATTGTTGTCTACCATTTTAATCTACGTTCTCTCATACATACTCGGAATGTCGCAATTAAGCTTTTTGATATAAGAGATAAGTAAATGCACTTTCAATACCCTGTGATCATAAGCATATTTGTATTAATTTGAGCCTATTATATGGGGAAATATGTAAATACAAATATTCACAGAAACAATGGAAGGGAAATGGCTATCTCGAGTCGACTATTGACGCTGATCAAGAATATAGAAACTTTGTGGATGCCTCATTCAATGCGTTACACATTTCGCGTTAAAATATAGTATAGCTTCGGCATTTAGATTAGATTTGTGTAGAGGGCATTTCATACACGAATTTGTTCTCAGTGAGCTCAGCTTGCCAATAGTTTTGTTTAATATTATTATATTAAAACCCCCTTGATATTATAGCTATACATGTGGTCCTCTCAATAATACCCTTTTCTTAACTGAATTTCCAATCTATTTTTTATTTAGTGCAACTGCACCTCATTGCTTTAGGTTCATGAAACTTTCATTGAAAGACGGAAAATATTGTTTTGGTATTGTTATGAATGGTGGTATCTTTTCTATAAGCTGCTTTCGATTTATAAAATTCGTTCGGCATTGAAGATGCTCATACTTCAATTAACAAATTTAATGGCAACTATCTGGCTAGTCTACACATTTCGAACAAGGCATTGTCAAGCGTTTGAGTTTCAATGAAAACTAATATTCGTTAGCAAATTTCAATGAGCAATGAGAAATGCATAAGCCTCGTTGTGCAGTTATGCAACTCGCTTATGAATGCAAATAAACTTGGGTTACTTCAAAATAAATCGTGTGTTCCAAAAATAGCACAACATATTTATTTCCATGCATTCATAGTATGAGGAGCATCAAGACTATGTCCAATTAAATTCAGACTTGAAGAGCAAGCGGATTATTGAGATTATTAAGTCACCAAACATACATGGAACTCTTTTAATTATGGAACTTGGGCATTTAATTGATTGAACTTAAAACGATAGTATATACAAACACAATTTAACAAAATGAATTTGTAATTGGCTACTGTATTCGTATTTAATTAAAGTATTTACATTTAACTTTACCTTTAAATTGTTGTTATAATTTCATTACACTTTTTTTAATGCAATTAAATAAACATTAAAAATTCTGGTGTACATATTATGTTTCCAATCTGCTATAGATACCAATGATTTTTATGCTCGTAAGCCTTATTTTCAATGGAAATTTTGTGTTTTCAGCAGCATTTAATTTGCTTTTGCAGTTCAATCATCCGGCAACTGGCATGTTAACAATATATGTGGTGATTTTGTATTTCACGGCAAACAATATAATGGATTAAATTTTACCTTTGAAGTTGAATTTAAATGAACTTTGGGATCGGTGAAAGAAATAATATAAAGCCTATATTTAGGGCAATTTCGCATAAATATATTGCATACTTGTTGGAGAAATTTGAAATTGTAAGGGGCACCTTTATTGAATTTTCGCCTAACTCATGAACAATTCAAGTAAATGCCTAAGATGGCATTTCTGTAAGGGAAAGGTTAAATAAGTTTTAAATTTGCGCTCTCTTGCAAAATGACTATTATGTGGAGTGCAGCTCAAATTTGCCTTTGTTATATTCAAGGCAAAATTAATTTGTCTTAAATTGCATTAAAAGCGAGCCAACAAAATAAATATTGATCTATATTGAAAGAAAAAATATGGAAAAATAAACAAGAAGCATTTACCGCATGAAAGTTTAGTTAAGTTTACTTGGTATAAACTTTTTTATACGAGATATTTAAGAGGACACTTATAAAGCATTTATGTATGCACGTGTTATTTGTTATGTATGTGCAAACATTCACTGGCTTAAGCTTCTCATCTGGCAAACACACAGCTTGTTAAGCGAAAAGTTTGCCGTCAGACTTCAAATGGAATGTAAAAAGAAACAAAAACCAAACAAAATTCTTGGGAAAAAAGCATCTGGAAAACTTATAAATTCAAAGTTTTTGCACACGAGACGAGACTTACCTTTTCTTATTTATAGCATTCATTCATAATGTGTACATATATGGGTTATGTTTCGCGTGCCAATTTAACGAATATTGCACAACTACAGTTAAGTTTATTAAAAACACAAATATACATAGAAATTTATTATATTCAACTTAAAGTCTAGCAAGTGTCGCTGTCCGACCCAGTACCCACCCGAAAGAGAATCACACGCCCATACGGAAAGCTCAATGCTATGCATTTTCAATTGGACATCCAAACCACACAACCTACCAAGGTCGGTGCAATTTCACGGTCTAACGATATACCGCAAAAATCGCAGTCCCAGCACCGCAGCCAAGGGAAGCAAACTGCTTCGCATCCAGACAATGCGCACCGAGTTCGCACATATATGTTCCAGATGTCGGCAGTTGCTGAAGTGCTTCTCATCTGATAGCATTTTCGCTGTTTCCCGTGCAAATTCTGCCGAGTGTTTGTAGCATTTGTACCGTGCGCTATTGTAGATGCAGTTCTCATATGCATACCTTGCGCTGCAACCAATTGGCAAGGAAAATTTAAAAATTAATTTTTTATTTAAATCCACCCAGCTGAAAAGAAGCTTACCAACAAAATTCCATGAATTTATCGCTCACATTGCGCGTGCTATCGTGCAAGTCATCTGTGAGTATGTTTTCGAAGTAAGTCGTACAGCTAATCCAATCTTCCTGTATATATGTGAAGCAATCCTTGTGACGCAGATAATCTAAAATGGATACGTGCCATAATAATAAGATAATCTGCCTTAAGTCCAAAAAGTAGAGCACAGTGGAACACTCAGATCTAAAAATCATATATTTGTTAAGCTCTCTTTAGTGTTTTTGAAACTTTAATTTGAATATTTAATTTCGAGTACATAAATTTTAATGTAAATAATTAGTAAAGAGAGAGTAAATAATTTTAAATATCTACCACGTTAGCGGATACAACTTTTTGTTTGATTGCCATTAAAACTTGATGCAGATTACATAACAGATTATGAGCTTGGGTACACGAAATATGAGTTGAAAATGTAACTTAATCCATCGTTAATTAATGTTTTTATGTATATTTACTTATTTTAATTAGGAAGAAAATATTTATTAAAGCTTGTTTTTAAATTATGCAACTCTAGGAAGTTAGCCTGAAAACAATTTAATTAACGAGGACCATGCTATGATGAATACCAGGCACTCAACCGTTTAACAGGAATTTCAAAACTATTTTGCTGTCATACATTTTATTTTGCCATTTTATTTGTATTTTTTAAGTCTTTCGTCATTTCGATTCTCTCTTACCTCGTTGAAAATCCTCATCGGCACAAAACTTTTTGAAAAATTTGCGAGCGCCGTCCACATTATTTTTAAACATGCCAAGCTTTCGGTTTTGTAGACAACGAGCTGAGTAGGCATCAAAGCATCGCATTCCGCGATTGAAAACACTAAAAAAATTATATTGGTAAATAAGGCACATAGCAAGCAAGCACAGACAACAAAAAAATGTTCAGGTATTTTTATTAAATTAAGAAAAAACGCCTTTGATGGTCTTTTTTTACTATCACCATATCAATTTCACTGACAATTTTTATTTCTACTAACTAACTTTGTGGACTTTCAAAGATTCGCAATAACAGATTTAACTTTTAATTGGTTATCAAATTACGCAGTATTGGAGGAGAATAATGCGAAAGGTATATATACGAATGTATATATAAGTAAAAAGTTTCTGTTTACTTTGCACTTTTTTGTTTAATTTAACGCAATTTGATGATTGAGAAAACTCTTTGAAAAAAAGGCAGAAAACTTTGTTTTTAGCACTTAAGCCCAATAAAGAGAAAACGCAGACACTTATTAATTATGAACTCTAAGCATCCCAAAGGTGACGCCAGTCTGTATCCATGCCATGATTGATGGATGGGTAATCAATAATGTATACAACTTCTTAGTTGGCATTTAATGCCCAGGTGTTTTATTTATAGCAACGGCATTCACGCGATGTGATGCATGATTTAGCTTGAGATCTAGAAGAGACTTACTTGCACTTGGCTATGATGTCCTGCTTGCTTATCACAATCTTGGTGCTCTGTAAAAACTCCATTAGATGTGGCGGTAAATCCTTAAAACATTCGTCCACCATCTTTTCGGTGCTGCCGCATTTATCCATATGAGCCAAAGATGGCGGTGGCAGCTGCTCGGATTCATTTCGTGAATCAACCATGGCAACAAGTAACGCACAAAAGCAGCACACAGACAGAAATATTTTTGCCGTACACATTTTCAACTGTTTAACTTAGATACACTTGTTGCTACGAAGCCGTATTCAATCGCACAATCGACTTCGATTCTCGCACACTTTTAATCCTTGCAAGTCGCCTGTTACCAAAGAACTGAACTGGTTTCGGCAATGTTTACTGCTTTTATTGCTGCCTAACAGCGGGCTGTTAAATCGCTTTTAGTTACTGCACATGCGCCTTGACGCCAACTGCACGTGTACTTCGCTTTGCTTATAAGGTTGACGGAAGGCCATGGTCCTTTTTGCGAAGTGAAGTATATTCATATTCATTAATATACTCCTAGAATTGTAGGATTAGCATTTAATTAACTTATACACCAAATGCACTAAAATAACCTGAGATTCTAACCTCAAACTTAATTTGCACAACTTTAAAGACTACCCATGCAATCTTATATAAGTACAAATATTATAAATAAAGTCCACCAGCATTCATTAGTCGTTTTCGACTTTTATTCAACGTAGCTTTGCTATGAACCTTTGGAGAAATGCTTTGTTCTACCAACATATTTTGTCAATGAAGTCAACATTATTGTATTATTTCATTTTCATTATGCATTCATTGCAGATTATGATTTCCAAGAAACCCGGATAAAGCTGCATAGATACGTAATTAACAGCAAGTCCTTGTTCCTCATCCACAAGTGGCTTTGGATTTGTTATTCGTATACACATCCATTGTTACAAGCATACAGATCTGTAACACGATGGAAGCAGTACATCTGCCATCAATTGTCTTTTTTTTTTTAATAATGAATATATTTAGCTATTCATGTTTTCAATGCTGTGTATGGGTACATGTTATGTACGCCTCTGCTTAGATAAATTAAATAAAGATTATATGATTGAAACATTTAATTTTTGGTTTTATATAAACATTTATTTTATGCAAAAACTTGTACATAATTTAGTTTGATTTTTTTTACAGTTGCGTATATATTTTATATTTGAACATATGTGGATAGACTTGCAAGAATTCAACGAATCTGCAATTATATTTTATATATGATGTTGAATGAACGAATATTGTTTGAAATAAATGTTTCCCATTAACACAATACATACAACATTCAATATTTGCCATGTGCTTAAGCTAATTACTATGCACTACATGTTAAATAGTGTTTTTTTTTACGTTACTCACAATCATCAATTGAATTGAATTTCGAAATTGAACACGAAATCAATTATCATCAAAAAGTATTATTTTTCAGGCAGCACACCAAAAGATTTGAAAATTTTGGCGGTGCTCATTGCTACGATTGCACGATTGCCGTTTCTATCATAAATATTATTTAAAATATTATAATCATTTAATAGATAATTTAATTATATAATTTGTTGTAGGTATGAGTATGATTTATATTATAATTTCAAACTGTACTGGCTGCTGCCTAGTTAATGCTTAATTCCTTAGCTTGGTCTCCAATGATTTTGGAAATTTCAATATTTTTCTTCTTTTTCTTTTTTTTGATTTGTGCCGTTATAAATTAATTTAACATTTAACTTAGATGCAATGTTTGAAAGGCACACTAATAACATATTAGTTTCAATTGGTTTATCGTAAGCATAATTTATTGATAGCTTTATATAAAGCTCAGCTGCATTAAGGAAAATTCTTTAATTTAAAATAATGTAGCGGTTTTTCTTTTGTACCATAATTTAAATGCAATTTTTATTCGATTTTACATTTACTGTATTTATTATATGCATTTCGTTGAAATATCATACATATATGATAGATAGCTGCTAATTGGTAAAAAACAAAATGTATAAGCGAGTTTTTTTTCGTATGATTTCGTGTTAAAACAAAAAGTATAAAAATTATACACAATCCTGCGTTCTATAACTTGAAACATTTATTTTAAATTAAAGAATTTTATTTCAGTTTTAGTTTGATAATTTTGTCAAATATTTGTGTGTTCAAACATCTTTTAATTCGTGTTTTTTTTCAATTTAATTTTTTTTTTATTTTATTTGTGTATAATACATTGTGCATGAGCTCAATATTAAAATTAATTATTAAAATTATTTATGTTTAGCTTGTACATTATTAATGCATGATATTCGTTAGTTTTCATTAACTAAATATGGCTGTTACTTGTATTTTGTATTATTTTTAAGAATATCGTTTATTTAGCACACGCGTTTTTTGCGTTAACTCACAATCTGCACGAAAACGCGTCGCGATTTCTATATACTTAATATTGATGTGTGTGTGTGCGGTGTGTGATTGTGGGTTCTTTTGAGTGTATACAGTATATAACATAATCATAATCGAAATACTTCATTAACAAGAATTTTCGTCAATTTAACAAAATAATATATATATATATATACTCGTATGATGAATATTTTGCTTTAAACTAAAAACATTTGCAGATTGCTGCATAATGAGGGGATGTGTTTGTGTGTGTGTGTGGGCGTGTGTGTATATATGCCTACGCTTTTGTTATTACACAGTTGAAACAATTGTTTAAGCTTACAAACTACAAAAAGATTCATCTTTGCATTGGAGAAAAAATATAATGTGATTAAAATATTTAGCAGTTTCTGGATGAGATTCTAAAAAATATGATATTCTTTCGTTCTGATTTCATGTTTTTATTTTTTTTTCCTTTTTGTCGTTGTTTTGCAAAAAAAAAAATAATAAAAATATAAACTAATGGCTCTCACGGCATATGTAGAGAAACTGATATGCATATGATTTGTATGCAAGCCGCTGAATTTGAATTAAGTAATGTTTGTTCGCTGAACTTTTTACTATGCTCTATAACTTAAAAGTGCGTAATAATTATGTTTTAATTTAATTTAGAAACTATGTTTGATTTGTTATTGTAATTGTTTGTTTTGTTTTGTTTGCTGGCTGGCAAAACGCAACAGAGATGGCCACAAAATTCAATACATTATTTTCTTCATGTTTGTTTGTTTTTTTTTTTTATGTTGCAGGCTGCAGTGCATAAATTGCACTCGCTGTTTGATGCATTGATGAGAATTGCAGGCACACAGTTAACAGGCCATAAACGTGGTGTGTAAGTGTGTGTGTAAGAGACAGTGGTGTGTGTGAGATATATTTGTTGTGGTTTTAGTAGTTGTCAGTGACAAGTGTTGGTGGTTTGGTTGCTTTACTTGCTACTATTAACAATCATTTCACAGTTTTCACATTCCGCTCAAAGTGGCGCATAATGCACGTCTATTGCCACTGCCACACTGCTCCGACTCCTGTTGCCGCTGCTGTTGTTGGTGTTGCAGTCATGCTGCTGTTGCGGCTGCTACTGCACGGGGAGCTCTGAACATCATATGCGAATCTCTTTCTGCTGTTTCCTGGCTGTGTCCCAAATTCATGGTCTTCTACCGTAACGCAGTCGGTAAACGGGCAAGCGTTGGTTAAAGGATTTATTGTGGAGTTTGTGGTTGTTTTGAAATGCATTTTTGATGTGTATTTGAGATGTGTTGTTGGAAGATTTTTTTTAGATTTTATATTTTGTTTTTTGTTTTTTTAGGTTAGCATGTAAATAAAAAAGAGTCATAGAAATGGAAATTGAGTTTTATTAAAAGGTTAGAAGTTAGTTATTTATTTTTCTTGTTTCATTTCATTTTGAATACCTAGCAGTAACACTGAAGTTTTAATATGCGATTTATGAGCACAAAAAGTTACTAAATGAAAGCGGGCATATATAATATATGTATGTACTTATTTATGTATGCAATGTGAACACAATCAATAAATAGTTATGAGCAGGGCACACGACATGCAGGCCAAGATTTCAATAGCTCACAGACTTTTAGTAACTTTTCTTTTTCGAATATACAAAAAAAAACTATCCAAAAATTTGGCAAATTTGACAAAAATGAAGAAAATAAATTTTAATAAAAAAAAATATAAAATGAAAAGAAAAAAAGCGTTTGTACTTAATTACAACATTTGAGTTGAAAATTACAAACACATACGTAATAAAAATCGTAGATAGTGCAAATCTAAGTATATGTATATTAAATGTTTATAGATTTGTATATGTCAAACTGTTTAATACGTTATTAAAGAAACATTTATTGGTTATTGAAATCATTTCAGGAATTTTTCGAGTAATTTACAAAATGTAAAAAAAATTGATTATTTAATTACTAGTTTTGCTTGTTTTCTTTTTTTGGTTTTGTTTTGTTTTTACTTTTGTTTCTTTGTTTAGTTAACTTGGCCTTTGGTTAGTTAAAATTAGCAATAATATTACATCACATATCATTTGATATTTATATGGTTTTTATACATATGTAAATGCTATAGAGTATCAAATTTCGAGATTAGAGAAAATATAAAAAAATAAAATTGCAAGTGCATTGGCTGTCAATTGTTTAAATAATAACTTTACGAAAATGCCAAGGTAAAGCGTTATTTACATTGTTTCTGTTTACATACAAATTGTGTATTTGTTTTTTAGCATGAGCCAAAGGGATTTTTTTTTTGTGCATATCACGAGTTAAATTTTAATATCAAAATCAGACATTCTTCAGCATGGCATTAGAATCAATTTAGTAATTGTATTTGTATAAGTCTGTTTACGAGTGGATTGTAAATGTATTGATGTATTCGTTTCTTTGTAAATGTGTGTGTGTGTGTGTGTATATATTTGGTTGTGTATGTATTGTAGTGTGCGCGTAAGTATTACAGGAGTTGTAAGCAAATGCAAATGCAATTTTATAGAACATTACACAAGTATTTATCTTACTAGGCTAGAGAGATATTAAACATATGTATTACTGATACCAGAACCAATAAGCTTAAGGAGTAAGTCTGTTAAATACACATCAAGATTTGTTTTTTTTTTTAGGTATAAATATGTATACGTGGTAAGTAGGTGGTTTTGATATATTCTCATTTGATGATGTAACTGTTTTGGACGCGACAAGGCATTATTATCAATTAAAATACTATTAAAATATTGTTTTGTTGGTGTTTGTGTATTATGTACGAGTATTGGGTGGTGGGTGAAACAGACGTTAAGCATAGAGTTATGCCCCGGACTTAGGTGTGGTAGTGGCTGTGGTTTGGTGGTGGTTTTTGGTAGTAGTAGTGGTAGTGGTAGTAGTAGTAGTAGTACATCAGGCCCCACGTTGGCTACGAGTGTGTGCGTACACAGAGCTTAGAACTAACGTTAAATTCTTAAATTAAGAGTTGCAAACAAAAGTTAAGTGTTTTTTTCGTTTTTTTTTTTTTTTATATTATATAATATGTATTTATTGTTTTTTTTTTTTCTCTGAGGTGATCAATGAGTTATGTGAGACGTAGGAGAAGTTTTGGGTTAAATTCAGAAAGCGTTAGGTTCAAACGACTGAAAGAAGTTGAAAGATGTCGAATGTCCAACGCATTCGCACATACTTTTGAAGTTTAATCATAAGACTTGGTATGCTGTTTGTTGGTTTTTGTTTTCTGTGTTTGGATTGCACTTCAACAAAAGTCATTGATCTTTATTCTGGTACACTTTCGGTTCAATTGCAACATACATTTATATGATATACAAGGTAAACGTTACAGACTAACAGGGCCTTAAGTTCTAAATACACATATAAAATTCATATTTCATAATTCATAGATAATAATGTATAATAATAATAATTAAATGGCTTAAGAAAAAGTAATACAAAAAGTACTAAATTGCTTTTGCTTTCGAGTTTGCAGTAGAAATTGATTATCGAATTTCTTACCTATTTTTTTTTTGTAATTTTTTTAATGTTTTTTTTTTTGTATGTTTTTGTAAAACATTAAAGGCACAAGTCAACGTCTTCAACAAAGAAATAAAATAAACGAACAAAAAATATATAAAAACAAGTTGATTTTTTTTTAAATTAAGCAGCTTTAAGCGGCTTTTCTGTTTCTATTGCACTAGTATTTTGCAGCATGTGTCTGTCAGTGTTGATGTATTTTTAAATTTTCATTTTATTTTCTCTTTTCTTCTTTTTTTTTTTTGTGAGTGTTGGTCAATTAACCAAAATTCACAAATGGAATGCAGCTACCATTTATTGTGATTGAAATTGCAGCTGCACTTCATGTGAAACAAATAAAAGTAATAAAAAAAAAAAAGGAAATTTATAGATGAGTAGAAACACAACTAACCTGTGAGGCGCTTGATTTATATATTGGACTGAGTTAACTGAGTTACGGAGCTGCACAGACCGGCCTGGCCAACTGGACTGGCAGGGTTTCATTGTATACACAGCAGCGGCAATTGGTACAAGACGTTTTAAACAAGTATAGAATGAAATAAATTTTATATAGAATGCAAAACAAATAAATACAAAATCGTTAGCATAATTGAACTAAATTGAATAATCCACATAATTGTGTGTGCAAGATAAACGATAACGATCATCGTTCTCTCTAATTTTTTTTTTTTTAACATTTTGAAAAAAATTGAATAATTTGCTTTAGATAGATAAATAAAATGATGTTGTTGGGTAAACGTTCTGTTTCTTAGGGAAACGAAATTCATGTCGCATGTGGCATTTACTGTATCTCAATGAAACCCGCCGGCTTGGCTGGCACTCCGACCGTTGTACGCTGATATGGGTGTTCTCTGTTAGCCGCCAAACGACGTTGCTGCTTAAGGGCGCCTACTAAAATATACGATACGATACATGTAGATATGTGCATATAAAGTTGAAGTATATATATATGTATTGGTATATAGATTATATATTCAAGGCAATAAATATACACATATATATGCATATATAGATAAGTGTATATATACATATATGTGTATTGTCTACAATACTTATATGCTAATAAAATGAAATATATATTTATGCTTGCTCTTTTGCTTTTGTTGTAGTAAACAATACACAATTTTTTTTACTGCTGTTGGAACACTGACACTGTTTTCGCTAATTACCAATTTCATTATATATATATGTATATTTAAAAAATATAAAATGTTAATAATTAATTGCGATTGCATGTTGATTTACATTTAAATTCTGTTTCTTTGGAATGAGTCGTATATATGATTGCTTATTGATTGGTACTGGAGGATGCCGTTGTCGAAATAAGTGATCTTTAAGCAGCTCAAACTAGCCTAACATTTAATTTAAACAACTATGTTTGTTTAAATGTATAATGGTATATAAGTATGTAAATATGCTTTTTCATAACTTTAGTGTAGTAGTAGTTCTTTAGCATTCTTCCAGCTGTCTGTCTCAGTGTCTGTCTGGTCTGTCTGTCAAACATTTGATGTTCGCTTCTGCTGACTAGTTGTGCAAGAAATTGTTGGACGGCTGCCTGAACCTCAACTAACTTAGGTCTACAAATGTTTTAAGCACCAACTCGATTCAAGGCTCCATCTAATTATAATAAGATACTATATATTTTATTATTTTATTAAAATGCTACAAAAAGTGAGGCGATTGCTAATTGCTCAAAAATGGCACTGGCTGGAAAAAAAATCAAACGGTACGGAAATCAAATGAACTTGTCGTAAGGTACATTTGTGCATAAATACTGCGCTTAACTGCTACACAAAACTAATTAGCTATCAGCTAAACATTGCACTTAAATAGAATAAACACAACAAAAAAATACACTCTAAATAAAATAAACAGCGACCCACACCATAATGAAATAAAATAAAATAAATAACACAAGTTATTTAAGTTCCTAAGCGTAGAGTATTTGTATAAATATAGAAAACTAGAAAACATAGACAAAGTAAATACACTACTATAACTTGCTAGATAACTCCACAACTATGTTGAAGGCTTTAAGTAATATGTATGTATTTATTTATGTAAGTAGAATACTCATCGTTCCCAAACAACAACCAACAAATTGCCCAGGCAGTTGCTGTCATTGTTGTCTCCGCTGTATTGTTGTTGTTGTCAACTAGAATATACTCATGTTCAAAAGTAGAAAATTTGCAATTGGTTAAAAAGCTCAAAACACACCCGAAAAATAAAATTAAATAAAATTGTAAACACGAATTTGCGTCCAAACGCCTAAGAATCACTTATTTGAAACGGTTACGACCAGTTTTCCAGTTTGTAGAAATGTTTGCGACCTATGAACTAACAAAAACTTTGACGAGCAATAATTATTTTTAATTATGTATTTTTTGTTTATCATTTGTTTAGCTTTCAAAAGCTGCAGTTTTGTATTTGAGTATTTGTTGTTGCTGTTCTTTTTGTTGTTGTTGTGCCATTTTGCATTTGTTGTTGCTAAATAAATATATATCTATATATATATATATATATGTTTTTTTGTTTTATGTATGTATCTATAATTAAATATGTTTAAGATTGTTCTGTGTTGTGCACTGTCAACGGCAGACTGCATTTAACTGGAACTAAAACTAACAATTTATGGACTTCAATAAATTCTTGGTGCACTCAAACAAAAAAAAGTTCAAAAGACGGAGCCGGCATGCAAATATCGACCAACTGGAAATATTTGTTTATATATGAGATTTCAGATAAAATTATTTGTAAAAAAAGACAAAGAAAATTTAAGAAATATATATTTTTATGAAACAATACAGTAAGTGTTAAGAATTTATCGTTAGCTGTGAATGGCATGGAGAAAAATTAAGCATGCGAGGCCAGTCAAGGGTTAAAAGCGTGCATTAATCAAATTTGTGTTGCATACTTTATGGCACTGCAGAAATAATAATCAAATCAAAACAGAAAGCGCTTTCTTCGGCATGCCGATGAGAAGAATACCCTTACAGGTTTATACAGTTTTCTTATTTTCATCAAAATCTAACATACTCGAAACCGGTCCAGCAAACTTTGGGGTATACAGATCCGGTTCGATCTAATGAAAGAAAAGATTGGTAACGATTTATACAGGTTAAAAAACCGAGAAACAGACAAATGACCGGAAATTGACTCGACTAGTTTTAGCAGGAAAATGCTTTTATGACCCTCTGCAAGGGTATATAAAATAAATGCGCATGTGTGGTTAATAAGCTTGGAATTGAATTATAACACAAAACTAAATTATTTTTAAGCAAAATACTACGTAAATTATTCAAAGTGCTGTCGCAAATATAATAGGTATAACTAAAGTGGTTTTTTTTTCAATCAGGTGTCTTAACGTTGAGAAAAATACCTCCTATATAATGTAGGTAAGACATTAAAATTGTTTTTTAACCGTTAAGGGACCTATTAAAAAGAAAAACCCAAAATGTATGTTGTAAGTGTTTGTAAGTAGTGTTCCTAAGTATTATTGCTCGTAATTTGGCACGCCAACAAAAGTAAAAAAAAAATGGCTAACCAGAACTCAACTGATCGATAACTCGCCTCATAAACTGGCTTATTATATACTGATATTTAGCTTGTTTGTTTTTTTTTTTTGTTTGGTGTAATTTCAGAACGTGAAACGATATTGAGATGGTGTGTGTGTGTGTGTGTATGTGCATGTGTTTTGCTTGTGTCAACAGTTATGGCGCATATATAGTTAAAGAGTATATCGAATCGAATCAATATTTAGCTGATCGAAAATCATAGTTTGTAGTTATATAGATTATAGATTATAGATTGTACGTATGTATGTTTAAATATTTTGGTTTGTATATGCATTATGTATGTAAGTAAGTTTATCTAGCAAACAACCCACCGCTATGATCAGCATAATCCTGCAGCAGAGGATTGGCCAGTGCTGCATAATTCGCGTAGTCTCCATACGGCGCAAAGATCATGCCATGTGCAGTCTGATCGAAGGCAGCTGTCGGCGCTGCCTGGGCGGACAGTATACTGGCCGCTGTTGTGGGCACGGTCATGCGTGGATTAAGTATCAAGGGGGCGCCCAGTGGTGCGTTGGCGGATGTGCGTATCTGGGACAGTCCGGACAGTGTCGGCGTCAGCAGGCGATTATCCGATGCAGCAACCAAACGGCGCCAGTCCTCTTCGCACACTGCGGGATACAGAACAGAAGCAGAAGGAGAACCAACGCATGAGAAAGCTGTCCGTATAGAAAATCCATGTAAATTCAAAGAAAACATTCATTATATCATTATTGGTTAGATGTATTAGATCTTGAATTGCTTTCGTTTTTATTTTTTTTTTTTGCTTTTGCTTTTGCTTTCAGAGCCGGGTGATTTTAGTCAGTACTGGGATTAGCTGTTGGTTTAGACAAATATTTTGGTATATTTTTTCTGTGTTGTTTATGAGTTGAGTAAAAATGAATTTATTGAATTTAGATAGGTAGAGAGCTTTATAGACATACCTGCGACTGATTTCGCTGTTGTGTCCCTATAAGTGCCGTTAATAATGGCTAATTCCATAAGTTGACGTTTCTTTAGTTCATCTTCGCCTTCGGCTTGCTGTTAGTACGAGTACGCACACGCATGTGTGTGTGTGTGTGTGTATGTGTGTGTGTTGTTTGTGTAGTAGTAGTAGTACAGTTTTTGTTCAATGTATTAAACAAAACACATTAAAGCATATTAGATTGGTAAGAGAAATGAAAGTAATATAAAGAAAATCATTATTAATATTGAGGTTAACAATTTTAGCAATGCGATTTGTATTTTACATATTTTAAACAGATATAGATATAGATACAGCAAACGCATCTTTTCGCACACATTTTTGTTTAATTGTGATTGTTTAATATTCATAAAGGTGGTAAATTGGCATTTAATGCGAGTCGAAATTGCTATTTCTTTTTCTCACACGTTTTACTGCTCTCGTCGATGATGCAGTGATGAGTTTTTGATTGTGTTTGTATATTTTTTGGCATTAATACAATAATTTTTTATTTAAAGTAGGGATTGAAACGCATTTAAGGGACTGACAGACTATCATACATATATGTATATTATTGCGAAAACGTATTGTTGACTTACCGGCACAAGCAACTTTTGCACTTCGGCAACAGCCTGGGCCAGTTTGACTTTGGCGCGATTCTCAGTATCCTCGACAGTGATCAGGACATGCAGATCATCCGACAAGTGCTCCCAGTTTGGTTTGCCACGATTAGCATCCTCCTGTGGATGACAATAGAAATATAAATATACTATTATTAGATGAGGTTAGACATAGACGAAGGGATAAGTAAGTGCAACTTGTACCAATATTCAAGGTTTCAAGGTGTGCTTTAAGTAATTTCATTTTCTTCTCCGTATACATATGACTTACACAAGTATTTAAATACGGTACATATTTCATGACTGCAACATTTTATTGATGATGCGCGTAATAACAGAGCCAACCAAACGTGAATGCCAATAAAATTGCGCACTACCCTATATTCACTTCACCCCAGTCCTTCTTCTTCTTTCATTTCGCCATTGGGAGGCTATAAAAATAAGGGGCAGCAAAATGCTTAGGAATGCAAGTTGTAAGACGACATTTCATTGCGCGTGTTTGCTAATGGCCGCAAACAATTAAATGTGGGCGTTTTGCTGCAACACGGAATGCACTTTTGTAATTTCAGAATTCCGCTTTAGCTGTTACTTTTTTGACCACACCAAAAACCCGAAAGCACTTTTGGCTGTCACGCTCGATGAAAATATGGGAAAATACTTAATATTTATGGAGGCCCAAGGCTGTGTGAGTCAAGTGCTGTGGGGGCGGTCAACGCATTAACTTTTGACCCAAAAAAACAAACAAAACATTTATATATATATATATATATATATATTTATTTTAACGTTTAAATATAATTTCGTTGAATTTGCTAATCAATTAAGCTAAAAGTGGCAGAAGAACTGTCAGTTTCGTTGGCTTTTGAAGTTGCCTCGTCAGCGTCCAAATTGGCTAATTCCGAGACACCACTTGTCAAATTAAGAACTGTCAACCAGGCAGTGAGCCATGTAGTGTAAATAGCTCTGTGTGCCCACTGCATGGACCCCAACGGCACTAATAAGGTTCTTTCTAGCAACTATGACTAACATATACATATTTTTGTCTCAATATAATTATCTGTTGCTTGCCTGGCCTGCATGCAAGTAAACATTTACGTTTGGTTGTGCTCTGGTCTTACGCTTGTCATTTGCTTCAGCAACAAAAGCAAAAATCTTATGAAATGACTCACGACATTTATGGCTGACGTTATTCCAGAGCACCTGAGTGGGTGTCGGGTCTTTGTAGCACGGCTACTAAATTATCATAATATTGCAACGCTATAAAAGTGAACATTTTTATATGTCTTGTTTGTCTGTCATGCTGCCGTTCAAATGTTCGCTACACTTTTGGCAATTTACGAAAATACACTTAATCATCTTAGCTCTGCTTTTTGTTTGTTTGCCTCACGCCAAATTAAATGATCATGAGTGTTGGAGTGCCAAGATTTTGATATATCATATATGTAGTCATACTGATGTATATAACCAAAATATATATAAAACATAAATCCAATATAAATCAGAAGCTTATTCTGGCATGCCGAATACTAAACACTCTTGCAGCCAATCAACTATATTAATCGGATTACCCATATAATAGAAAGATCTAAAGATATTACCAAAATATATTAAGAAGTGACGATTCATCTTGTCAAATATATACAAAATGGATTCAGGCGACTTAAATACAAAACATTATACGACAAAACTTTTTGTGACGTTTAAATATGAATTTAAATTACCCTCTTTAATTGACAATAATTTTCATGTTGACAGGGCAATCGAATGTCAACCGACACTTTAGTTTAACGTAAAAGCTTTTAGTAAATTGGATACCAAATAGTTTGCGGTTTAGTTTTTGTCTAGTTAAATGTAAGTGGCGTCAGTATGTGTGTGTGTGTGTTTTGGGTGTGTGGTTGTTCTTGTTTTTTGGGGGCTCTTAGCATGGAATGCAAAGTATGCAGAGCATTGGAATGACGACTGCTGATTGGTATTTGATGTGCTAATGAAACAAAATTGTTGATATGCTTGAAAATGGTTTTGTGATTTGCGCAGCTTTCCTAGCCAAATGGATTTAATTTCATTTACATATACATATTTATTATATTATATATAAGCATTACTTACCTTCTTCTTGTCACGCATAGAGCCCTTGCCGCGTACCATTATCTTACAGCCAGTCTCTTGTTCTAATTGTTTGGCAGTCATGCCGCGTGGTCCCAAAATGCGACCAACAAAGTTGAACTGAAATGGATATGTCGAAGAAATCACAGGAAATGAGCAACAATTATTATTAAATAACATAGCAAATTAAGTAAAATCTTAATGCCAAAGTTGATTTGATGAAAATTTAAATCGCATTAATGCCAAACAAATGAGAAGGTTGACTCATGGACCAAATCATTCAATGCACAAAACATTCTTTCAAAGTCAAAATTATTATATTGTTGGGACCCCTCCCCCTCCCCCTCTCATCGTAGTTTTCAAATCACAATAGCGAGTGCACAACCGGACAGAAACGTAATATGACCTAAGGCGACACGCCTGAATTTGGCACGATAAACCAATCAGCCAGATACTCAAGCAGATTGCCAACTGCAGCAGCCAGCCGTCAACCGGCGGCGACAGTCAAAGCCATTTGCAATACATTCAAAACTGTTATTATTATTATTTTTTTTTGTTTTTGGTGGAGGGGATGCAGAGGGGGATGCCTAATAGCAAGTCAGTGATAGCACAGTGATGGAAGCTGACCAGTTGGCCAACAGTTTTGTAATTGATGGGGTGACCAATTACCATATATTGCTGCCATTTTTTTTTTTAACTACGCCCGCCCTCAAGCGTAATTCGCTGCTCATAAATTAGCTGATAAAATTGTAGATTTATGGGGCACATATCAAAACAATTTTTCCCCTGAATTATATGTATCTTATATTGTAAATGACTGTGCAAACTAGTTCGACGCTTGTCCAGAGGCGACCACCCACCAGCTTGTCTTTTTGTTTTTTCCGGGCTGGAGGGGTGGTAAGAGAAAAAATAGGAAAAATTCTATTCAAAACCGATGATGTGATTGTGTTGTTGTTGTTGCGGCAGCAGCAACTACAACAGCAGCACTCCTTGTTGTTGGCATCTACGTAACAATCTCTATTTTTATCTATATCTATATCTGTACCTATATATGTTAGGGTTTGAGCTTCGTTTAGATTTCTCGGTAATTAAAAATTGTTGCAGATGCCCACATGCAGTTAGTTGTTTAATGGCTGCCGAAGAATTTTAATTAAATTTTGATAAAACCAAAAAATAATAATAATTCCTTAGATGGTTTCCAAATGAAGCCAAGCCAATAGTGGCTATTGCAGTTTATGACAAAAGCTTGTACGCATCCAGTTCTCAATTTATGCTTCTTGAAAAGTGTTCTCAACTGAAAACTATTTGCATTTATTGATCTTTGGTCAGAGAATATTAATTAAAAGCAGCCCAAGCTCACTTAATGTCACCAAACATATATACATGTATGTGTGAGTGTGTGTGTGTTTCTGCAACGGAAATGGAATTCACAGACCACATTGTGGCACGCATAAATATTTAATGATGGCAAATAAAGATGGGTAGTCAAATCGTTTATAAATGATTTTCATTTCAAAATGTTGGTTTATTTTTTATCATTATTGGAATTCAATTTTGAAGTGTTTGCCGCAGCAATTATGCGAGTCAAGTGGAACGCGTGCCATTAAAGACAGACCCCGCAATGCCGCAACGATGATAAAAAGTAAACAATTTGTTTATTGTTGTTGTTGTTTACAGGCAGCTGCTGCACTTGAGCAAAATTTGCTGTTAACATACAAAAGACGAGGCCAGAGAAATGAGAGGATAGAAATGGAAGCTACAACTAGCTACTTGTGTTGGGGCTGCTGGCTTATATTACAGATTGTGAGCAGCGATAAGAACGCACTCGCACACTACAAAATTAGCTCATGTACTTTACATATATCAATTTGTAAGTATTTTTCTTTAACAACAAAAAGGCAGAAGCGATTGATAAGCCAGCTGAAGTCAAACAAAAGGCAGTTTAAAAGTCAGAAGGCCTCAAAGACAGGAAGAATAACCCATATCATAAGTTGTTGATGAAAAATTCAATGGAAATTGGTTACCATGCCAAAAAGCCGCTTATGAACACGTGGCGATTTTTCATTGCAAAGATTTTAGACATAAAAGTCAAGCTACTGCAGAGGTACTGTCTACCATCATTACAGTACATATTTTATTTCAAAGATAACTGGTGGCAATGAACACAAAATTGTACACATAGTTTTTAACAGCAGAACATCTTTTCATATTAGCCGCCAGTTAAGTAGAAAAATGCAAAACTAAGCAACAGTCGGCGCAGATCAAATAGATTACAGATATGTACATTCAATATACTCATGCATACATCCCGTACACATATACATACATATACATCTTATATATATATATATATATACATATCTGTATCTGTATTATGTGTATGTATGTAGTTACGGGCAAATGAAACACAAAAAGTGTGTCTATTTCGCGGAAAAATAAATCACAATTTGACATTTTACACAAAAAAGCAAACAGTCATTCGCAGTTGTTTTTGTTTTTTACAGCACTTATTAAATAACTCAATAGACAAAATGAGCATTTTAGCTGCACGTAATTAGCATTTTATGTTCATGACCGATTCGCTGCAGTTCTCAGATTAATTGCCACTTTATTTATGACACACACAACACATAAAATGTGCAAAATGTTGCGACAAGTGGAGGTATTCTCCGTTGTTGTTGTTGTTGCTTTTGTAGTTCAAAACAATTTAGCATAAGTATTTCAGCAGTTAGTATTGTTCAACGCCAATGGACTCCAATATTGAAGGCCCCTCTAACAGGCTGTTAAAGCGCTGTTCTGCTTTGTACATTTTTTGTGCGATTGGTGTTAGTGTTTTAAAATTGCTGATTTATATAATATTATATTATTTATATAATAATAAATTACAACTACTAAGCAGGTTTTTAAATTCTAAATAAAAATTGCACATTTGAAAGTACTCAGTTTCAAATATTTTAAGATCCACATTCATAATGAGTATTTCGTAATCTAAACACGATCGAAGTGACACATAAGCGGTTCTATAAACTTTTGATCTACATTCATCCTCTTATACATTACTTAATCACAGCAGCTAGGTAATTTGTGTTTAACCAATCAATTCATCTGTGTAATAATCCAACTTTGTATGGTATTTAGGTAAGAGCTATGAATGAATTACTTTTGTACCTATTTCAAACAACTATTAGAAATAGCCAACAAAAATGAGAACAATTACGCAATTGTTTCATATTTGATCTATTGATACAAATTAAAAACAAATATCAATAGATTACTCGGAGTTCAGTCCAGTGGGTCAAATGCGCAACATGTGTGATGCTCACACCACAGGGCGTATGAGCAATGTGTCAACAACAAGCAACAATAAAAGAGACACAAAGATAGATTATGAGAGGCAGACAAATATCTGTTTGAAATGAACATTGTGGCAATGCTGCTGGGCAGCTAAATGAAGCTACGCGAGTTAATAGTTGCACAGTAATTAATAGTTAACTGTTAAGTGATATTGTTGTTGTGTCAGTTTCTGCAACAGATGTTGACTTTAATTAAGTTGTATTTATGTTTTGGACACAGCAACAACAACCACATCAGCAACAGCCAAAACAACAACAGCAACTAGCTGCAATTGAGCGCATTTAAAGGCTGCGTTTGTGGTCTTGAAGCCATGCGATGCGTTGCGTTGCATTGCAATACACTTTCCCCTCTAACTGACGTCTCCCCTTCCTCCCTGTCTCTCTACCCATAGCTCCATACCCAGTGTTGACAAATTGTTGTCTATTTACATGGCATGGTTGTCAGCCAGCTGACAAATCATTATTTACACTGTTGAATATGGTATAAATAATGTACTGCTATTATACATTTTGTCTAATGCTGTTGCTGTTGCTGCGTCAGAGTCAGATTCAGAGTCAAATCGGCTATAATGCCTGGGATATTAATGGCCAATGACGAGGCTGCTCAAAAGGCACCAGCAAACATAAATCGGTGGATTTATACGCATATATATATTTATATATATATTTTGTGTATAAGTATCTTGTGAACAATAAACATTGTGCAAACTGGTTGCATTTTCTTGCGTACGCTTGCCGATTTGAAACGCAATTTGTCTTACTTATAACCATTTGGCTTTTGCCATACGGCATGAAAATGTCAGAAATGCTCGGCGATTTTTCGTGTTTGCTATCGAGCTAGAAATATTGCAATTAAATGAAATGATTTATTGTCATGATGAAAACGCCCGCGCGCTCGAAAAGAAAAGCAGCGAAACCCGAATCATTTTTCTCACGAATAAAAATAGCCCAAATACTCAGAACACCTGAAATATCAAAAGCCAACAACAAAATTAAAAAAAATAAAAATAATTAAATAAAAATATTCTCGATGTATTTGTTTTGAAACAACTATAAAAACCTTACCCTATGGTCGTAAATCTTAACTGTTCGGTGGCAATTTCCATTTGGAAATCATCCGAAAGAACAGCAGCAAAATCAAAATCAGATTTGTCTCAGTTTGTGCTCTGTTTCAGAGTCAAATTATTTTCATTTTAGTTTATGACGCAACTCTTTTAGATTCATTTCGCTTTGCTCTTTGCAGGAGAGGGAGTCAAACATTTGACAAGCGCAGCCTTAATAAATTCAAACTTTATGCTAATGCTCCTCCGCATAGCTGCTTCGACTTTCTGGCTCAGCGTTTAAGACTTATGCAATGCTATAGTAGTTATTAATTAGCTGAATGACGTTGATGACCAATTTTGTAGCTTGTTTTATAACTAATTCGTATATCGTATATTATCAAAGGCAAATATAGAGCTTGTCTAAAAATTTGTTGTATTAAATTCCAATTTAATGTTATGATTTGCATTTACAGGGTATTGCATAGTCCAGTTATTGACATCAAATGCCTACTGATTCTGTTCCCTAGGTAGAAATTGCCACAAATCTATGCGAGCTCAGCTAATTAGCTTCTAGTGAATTTGCATATTAAGAGCCCAAAGTGATAGCAAAGCTTGGTCCAAGGCAATAAATACTTAAATGGAATGAAAGTTGAAAAAACTTCACCAATTTAAATTGGAGTTTTGATCATTAAAAAAAATATAACAAATGTCATCTTGTCACCGCAAATAGCTGGCGCCATTTGCCAAGCCAAAATATTTGAACAGCTGTGCTGCAACTGCTTTCATCTTAGCCCCAATGCATTTAAATTTATGCATTTAACTGGAGCACTCAATCCCTAATGTGTATATATATATATAAGTATATATATATCAAATGCGAGAGGGAGCGACATAAACGTTAATTGTGTCAAGCAATGAAATAAGTTTGCTGTCAGCGATAAATAAGGCCAAACAACGCCTAAACATTTAAAAAAAAAGAGCAGAAACTTGAAAAATAAAAACACAAAAAAAAGATAATAGTGAAAATCCAAATTTTAAATTGCATAAAATTAAATGAAATTCTAATTTGCCATGGCGTTTGGCTAGGCGGCAAAACAAAACGCCTACAACAACGCAACGACGACAACGTCAAGCGACTTCCTAAAACGCTTCACTGATTTTGTCTAACCCATATAATATATATACGGGTATATGTATGTGTATCGCTAAGATCGAGGGGCAGCGCAGACGCAATAGCAGCAGCAGCAACTGGTACGCATTTTGCATTTGGCAAGTCTTAAGGCGAGCCCCGTTTCTGAAGCATTTGCCATGTCTTTTCGACAACTTAACAGCCGACTGATTCCATCAGCTGTCTAAAGGTGTGTTACACTATCTATATGTAAGTGTGTTGCCTAACCGCCCATTTGTTGCAGCAGCAGCAGCAGCAGCAACAGAAACAGTGCCTCGTATTCTTTGCGGGCTGTTAGAGGGCGCACCTTAAAGCGATTTCCGGTGTACCAGTTGCTCATTGGGGCTCATTGGGCAGGCCGTGCTGTCAATTCTAATTAGCGGAAGCGCTTCAAATGTGCTTCGATTCATAAATTAGATCATCGGCAATTTATTACATACATAACATACATCTATCGATCTATCTATATGTACTTACATCTGGATGCTCGCGCACTGGCACATAAACCTTCTCATTCAGCGTAACCATGGCGCCTTCTGGCTCGGGCAGCGTTAGCGGCTCCTTCTTAACGCCATTGATTTGGAACAGGGAGGCGCGCACTCGTGCAATTTCTGTAAGCATACAATTATCAAAATAAATAAATATTATTAATGCATTAAAATAATATATAATTACCAAAAATAATAAGAGTAAAAAAAAATAATTAAAAAATATATAACAATAAACTCTTCTAAATTTATGATTATTGCAGGCGATATATACAATTCGACCTAATTTGATCTATTGGATCCCCTTCTGAGTCAAGCTTCTGTTAAAATAAAACAGTCAAGAAGAAAAACTAAAATGGTATTGATTCGTCTTGGCATAAAAATATCCATTTAAATTGAAAGTATGCTCCAAAAAATACAATTAGTTGGAGATTTTAAGTCTCACGTTATCTAATCAAATGCAAATAATTGTATTTCATATATTGATAACAATAATGCAATCCTGGATCTATTTTAAATGCTGTTGTCAAGTGGCGCCTCCGATAATCATCAATCTCGGCCGCAATTGCAAGCTGTTATTTGGTTAAATTACATTTCATTTGACTCGTAACTCCGGCTAATGGCGGCAACAATTGTGCTAGCATATGCCATTAAAAGCATGTGAATATTTACTTTAAATAAATGCCGCTAATTTATTAAATGCAAAAAAAAAAACTCGACAGGTTGGTTATTCGTGAGGCCTCCCAACGCTTTTTCCACCTAATGAAATCATTTGGTTTATATATAAACGAATTATGGCATGCTTTTGCCAGGAGAGAGGGCAGGAACGAGGAGCTGTGCGCTGTATGTGGTATGTACATATGTGCAATAAAGCAATGCCAAACTGCTCATACGCCTCATTGTCGGTCATAATTCACACATTTGCCGTTTGGACTACCGCGTAGACAACTGCAACTAACTGTCTCTCCCCAGCTGTGCCAGTTGACAGCGCCTTTACAATTGATATGATCAACATTTTGTTGCTGTTGTTGTTGGTTGTTGGATTCTTTGTTTTTTTTTTTTCGCTTTGTTGAATTGCATTGTTTGCCTTTTGAAATGTGCCCGTCTAGCTGCCTCACACAATGGCTGCCGATAATTTGTCACCAGAATGATAGGGAGATGTGATATATATGAAAATTGGTATATCTGTGGGAGTGTGCTAGGCACATGTCATTCGAATGACTTAAGAAACTGCTACTGTTGTGCACATCTCGTCAGTCAGTGGAGGCTATGTCATCAATTTGAGCTGAGTTGCCTGCCTAGCAAACATTATTGTATAGATTCGTACGTTGTTCTTCTACCAAATGCAATATTTTCATTTACTTATATTTGATTCTAAGAATTGAATTTTCTGTTTCCTCATAATAAACACTTGAAGCGTGTGCATTTCAAACGCATATTTCGGAGAATAAACGGAATTGAAAGTGAAGGTAGGATGTTGCATAAAGTTACTGAAAAGCTATGGAAACTTTCTAAGAAATTTAACATTGAATAGCAAGCTATTAAATACACTTGTGTTTAATTGAGACTTAAATTTGCATAATTTTTCAGCCTCGAGCTCAACTTATAGCGCCAGCCATTATCTGTTGCCACAGCTTCCTTTAAACTTGTTGGCCCACTTGTCCCTTGTGGACGGCCCGTCGCTGGCTGGCAAATGTGAAATCCCTGCCAAATACAAAATCGCAATGCATAAAATTTGACAATTTATTGACGCTCTGTTGCTGCCCATAAAGTGCAGCAACGCTGCAAAAGTACACAAATCTAAATTTAAAATGTTGCACGGACAGTGAACGGCAACTGAACGTAAACCTAGAGGGGCATAAAGCCGTCAAATTATGTGCGCAAAGTGTTAGATATATAAGTAGTCAAAAAGGCAGGCGGTTTGTCTCTATTTCTATGATGTTGTGCAGGCGGCAACCATCTGCCTAACATGCAAAAACTTTATGAGACAGAGGCACAAAAAACAAACACAAACCCATCACAAAAATGTGACAAATCCCTTGAAAGTCGACCCTGTCAGAGAGTATTCATAAGATTTGTTGACTTTTGGGGTTATCTTATATCGACAAGCTCAACTGTTCTAAGTTGTTTTAAAACCCAATAAGCAAAAGCACTTAAGTCCAGCACGCGGGGGTTGGCTATAAAATTTTACAAAATATGTATATATATATACGTATATAATAATAATCGTACAGTGTGCGTGCCCACACACGCAAGAGCACGTCAAGTTCTTTGTTGCAAAAAAGTTCTTGACGCCAAATTTGGCAGCAGTGCTTGTGCCATATTTAGAAGTTCGCATATTTGAATTTCTTAGATAAAGTCATAAGCATACACATGTAAATTATGACTAAAACTTGACTTGCATTAACTGAGGCGGCATTTGAATGAATGAGCGTTACACACACACACACAAAAGTAAAACTGACTGACTGCCTTATAAGCACAAGATACCGAGAACTTGTTAATGAATAAAAAAGATCTTTCATTGATAATTATTAGATTGGCAAAAGCCGCGCTCAACGCTGCTCGCCACCTACATAATAGATAGACGAGCCTCGCTCAACCTGCCCGCCAACTCAGCGAATACCCTTAAATGGTCAGCTGGCAACGGACATGGGGTTTAATTATATATAGAAGATTGACGCAGCACATATATACTAAATACTGAATACAAAATGGATATAGATGTAGATACAGATATGTAGATGTGAAGAGAAAGACAGATAGACAAAACAGGCTAGCTATTAATTAAGCCGCCTGCGCATTTGGCTGGCTTAATTATTGTAATTTATCTAAATGCTCCTATCAATTTAGAGTTGTGCCAGTGACTAATCCGATTCGATGATGATGATGTTGATGATAATAGCCACGCCTTGAGCCAACTATGGCTTCGTCATATGCAAATGCAACACAATTTTCCACAAATTCGGCTCGGCTTATTCATCTAATCTGCCTCAATCGTCGTGTGGCGCACATCAGTCACGTTGCCAGTCCGCTTGACATTTGACCGATTAAAATTGACAGCTGTCATGATTGCATTTATGCTCGAAAAGATCTGAAGCGCAGATTTCATGATTGCAATTGAGGTCAAAGAATTTTCAGTTGCATGCCCCAAGCTATTTTTTTTTGATTTTGCGACTAAATGAAAAGCTTTTCGCCGAACTGCCCTTAATTTCGTCTTGAACATCTATTAAAATCAACGCACAAGAAGCACATTGAAGCAAACACAAATTGCCACCTCATATTTTGTGCTTGTTTATTGCGACAATTTCCATGCTGTATTCAATATTTCAGTTTTCACTCGCGTCGCCTCTTAATGAGTTCTTTGGCCGACTCTTGATGTGCTTGGACAGCTCGAACAAGCCATGTTATGTTGTCTTGTTGTTTGTTTCGCTTAATTTTTTCTTGCTTCTTCTTAGCAGCAAAAATAGCTTGCTTTTTTTCTCCGCTGCCAGGCAAATTAAAATATGTGCAACATTTTAAAAGACTCGCAAGACTTTTCACTTCATTTCGGCTGCTTTTTTGTTGGGAAATTAACGTATGATTTTTCTGCATGCAATTTATATAGGCGCTGATGACAAAGGCGTTGCTCAGATGAACATAAAGTTCAATTAAGTAAAATGTCAAAAATACAAAATACTTAGAAATTGTATTTGAAATTGGCTTGATTTTAAATAGAGCACGTTCCTATACATTTGTAAAGATTGTGTTGAGTTGTGTAGCTCATATTCTACATATAAAATTTAATTTGTGTTTTCTTAAAGATTCGGGTGCATTTGATTAATGTGGAAACACGTTATTTGCTGCTTCCACAAAACCGCAGACAACCTTGTTCACGCCAAATATCTAATCTGAGCTTGTCAATCTTATAAGCAGCAGCAGGCAATCAGGTAGGCCAGTTGACACTTTTACCAAATGAATAACAAGCTCAGTTCAGCTCACATCTTGGCTAATGCGGGAAGCTCAAGCTCAAACTCAGCTGATTGATTGCTGCGATGGGGCGCAGTAATTTGCATTGGATCACGACTCGGTTTCAACTGCGCTACATAAAATGTGTAAGTATGTGGCAGCTAATTTATGAATGCAAAGGCATTCATGACACGAATTAGATGACTCGCTGTGAGTTCCGACGGAGGCTCGGTGGCGTGGGTGTTGTCAGCGTTTTGGCCTTAACAATGCCAAAAAGCTGATCGTGTGGGTGACAAGAGCCGAGTTTAACAAATTGTCACACCAATGACAAATGCTAAAAAAAAAAAAAAAAATCGCTTAAAGCTTAGCTCGAATGTTGGTTGTTTGGTATCCACAGCCATTGCAATTAAGTCGTTCGCCTCCGGCAATAAACCAAATGCAAGCACATTTGGCATGAACTCCACAAATGCCTTGGCCGGCCTTGAGAATTCGTACTAAATCACTTTGCGTTCTGTTTTGTATATATGTATATATATATGCATATATATTCATTCAAATAAGTTCATTTACTTGTTTAAATTTTGCATATGTATTCTGCGGTCAGCCAGCCGCATTGATATGAAAATAAAATAAATATGTTATATGTATTTTGTCAGTGCTTGCTTTCTTTACCGCATACCAAATAAAGACTGCTTAATATGACGCTTGAATTTATTTGATAAAATATTCTCATATCATAACGCTGTCATTAACATGTTATTTCACACGCTTCACAGCAATAATAATATCAGCATGTTTATTTAAGATATAAAAGTGCTTAACATAATAATGGCAATCAACACACACACTATTCTATATGTATATGATAAAGAAAAATATGCGTTAAATGTTACTGCTCGTTTTACGAAATATGCACTTCAAAATATGCAAGCGCAGGCGACTTTCTTTTTTTGTACCCACTAAAAAAGTTAAATTCAGTTAAGAGTGCAAGACGAGGCGATTCCGCGTAAACAGCTTTTGAGTGAAATCAACAAGCTGCTTGTATTAATAAGCTGATTCTTTTCTCTACTACACAAAAAGTTTCCTAAAAATGTTGTACAAAAGGAATCTATTCTCACATGTTATAAAATACATATTTATATTTGGGAAGATATTATTATTGGGATATTATTCTG